AAAACGGCCTGACCCGGCCCAGCCCGGCTCGGCCTAACCCAGCCCAGCACAATAGACCCTGCGTTCTGAGATTTGTTTGAGCGAGCAATGAAAAACAGATGGACTCCGAGGAAAGGACTGAGAAGAGGAGGAGAGAGAGGGGAAGAAAGAAAGGGAGTCTTGTAAAATATTTGCGAAGAAAAATAACCCAGGGACGCTGTCTAATTATATCTATTTGTCTTGTGTGGTTTTTCTGGGGAGGCCATGTGGTCTCCCTGACTGCTCCATGGTTCATTTTTCACATTATCTGATCCTGGATGGAGAGTAAAAAGAAGAGGGCGCATTTCGGNNAGTGCAGGCGGGGGGGGGTCTCAATGGGAGGGTTGTGGTGAGGTGGGGGGGCTGGCCTCAAGGAGCGAAATGTAGGAAAGGCCCCTGGGGTCCTGGAGGTTTCATGTCTTTGACTGCTTCACTGTCTTCTTTGGGTATAATGATACGGATTACTTCTCTAATCTAACAATGGCCATCCATCTTCATCAATAACACAGCCATTGCTATACATGCTGCTTCTCTACCAGAAGAGAAATATTTGCTGGCCATGTCCAGTAAAGGTCCATTTTGCAGTTTATTAACTTAAGTTCTTTAAACAGCTGTGTAATATCCTTGTTTTCCCTGCTTTATGAAATCCAGATTCTTTCCTATCTGAACAATGAGGTTTTCTGGCATGTTTAATTCAATCTTTGTATGAAGTGTTCAGTTATTTAACTAATACTCTCAACTGCAGGGGAAAAGAGCACATCAATTCATCCAAATAAAGATTATTGTCTCTATATAAGCAAGCAATATATAGTTCTGTGTGTTGGCATGATAATGAACTCGAACCACATGATCTCACGATGAAAGTCTTCTCCTCCGCAAGTTTGCTCAAATTTCCCTGCTGTTGCCATATTGTAAACTGGTCACCCATGACAGAACCACGGACACTCTTGTAACTTCCTTCTGATAACAGATAGTCCTCCTCTTCTTGTTATGCCCCCTTTTTTGTCTCACAAGCATGCCCACCAATCACATCCAGCCGCAACCAGTCTGCGTGTTGATGTCCTCACTCAGCCAACGGCTCTCGATCACTCTCTGTCACCTCATTCTGTCCAGATCCATCCTGTCCCTGCCTGTCAGTCAGTCAGCAGGCAGGTCGTTGACTGTTGCATGACTTCTTCAATTCTTCACTTTATTTCAGTAAGAGAGGGGGATTGTAGATTTTACATTGCCTGCGTAGTTTGTGGTTTCTCCCCCAACTCCTCGCAATACTCTCAAGTTCTCAACCATCAAAAGTTGAAAAGGAAGAGCTCTTCATGGTGGGTGACGGCGTTAATAAGGATGATAATGATGTCACGGCTGGTGACATCATCACAGTGTGCCAGCCAGCAGAACAAAAGAGGGTTCTGCCCGGTCTTCCTAGCTGTCTTGGCAGCAGCAGAGAGAGAGAAAGAGAGTAAAAGAGCGCCCAAAGATTGATGTATCCATTTGGCTTTCAATTTAATTCTGTCTCTCTATTCACATATTCAAATTTTCCTGTGTGAGCTTTTGTAAGGAGGAAAACATTTTGATTTGTTCTGCCGACTTTATATCTCTATTACGGCCTGGAATGAAAGCACTCCGTTAGTTCATTCAGGATATCCGGTGATTTGGCTCCCCACTCCAAATCTTTGACGCTATTTAAAATGTATTGTTTTCACAAAGATGCCTGGGCCCAGCCTCTGTCTTCTCTCTCCTCTTTCTCTCTCCTCCCTTCACTTCACTGTCTCTCTCCATCTCTTCTTCCCTCTCCCTCGCTTTCTTTCTCCCTCGCCTACATCTCTATCTGTCCTCTTGCAGGACTCGGAGAGAAAGGGCTTCATGAACAAGCTTTATGCCATTCAGGACGTGTGCATCAGCGTGCAGAATGCACTGGATGAAGTGGCCTCCTATGGCGAGAGGATAAAGAAGTGAGTCGTAAGCCCGCTCCTCGGCACCCGGCCCGCTCCGCTCTGCACGTCCCTGTGTTTTGTTTTTTTTTCCTGCAATGCCAGGTTGCCCTGTTTCCACTTGTCAGCCTAACTGAATAAAACTCGGTGCTGCTCTCAGGAAACACTGCCAGCGTGACACCCAACCCTGAGAGACAAACACAGGCGCTGTCTGTCTTTATGTCCATCACATCTCACTTAACCCTGCATGACCTCTTAACTGAATCATCTACCTACTAGATTAAACACATAATACTGCACATGCAAAAAACAACACTTATTTACTATACACTCCTGCATAGATACAAAGCAACGGGAAGGAAGGAATTTTGTTTTGATTAAAAGCTGTAGGGGAAAAAAAGAGCCAAGCAGGTTCCTTCTTCAGTTACAGGTAAAAACATTTTAAATCAAACTGAAACATCTTTGACCCGTGTTTCTGTAGGGTTGAGAGCATTTTACTGATAATATAGTGTGAATTGTATTGAGTCTCAGCCCATTTTCACCCTGCATTGCTGACCTGTGAGACACTTTGGGTGAAGTTATTTCCTTCTGCACAGTTCCACTGAGTGTGATGAATCTGTAGTGCAGGGTCATCCGGATCAGCTTGTTTGGGTTGAAAAGTATTAAAATGCCCTTTCTGACTCTCTCTACTCTTTCTCATCATGTTTGGCTGGACTGAGTTTTGCTCCTGATTTTTACAGTCCCTTTTTGTCTTCTCTTTGCAGCACATTTAACTGGACTGTGCCTTTCTTAAGCTGGCTGGCCATTGTGGCTCTCGGAGTGGCCACCACCATCATATACTTCATCCCTCTAAGATACATTGTGCTAGCCTGGGGTGAGCTAATGTCAAAAATGTGCATTGTTTATATACATGCACTGTAAGTGTAGGGTATTAAGTTTAAAAGCTGTAGTTAAATGTAAATACAGAATCAAATTAAGCATGTGGCAGTGTTCCATGCTTCTTTTTATGTATTGTATTGGGGGGTGGGGTGGAGCACAGTTAGTCATTTGTGTTATGTTCTAAGTACATTTTCAGAGTACAACATAAAGGCTTTAACAACTTGTGTACTTATGTCCACCTCTCTTTCCCAACTCTTTTCCGTACCTGCCCCCGTTTCTCTCTCTACAGGGGTGAATAAATTCACCAAGAAGCTACGAGACCCTTACACCATTGATAACAACGAGCTGCTAGACTTTCTGTCCAGAGTGCCCTCAGATGTACAAGTGGTGGGTGAACTTTCCTCTTTTATCTTTGTCTCATCTTTTATATCTTTTTGACAACACATCTGTCAGTTCCAGACATGGGCAAGGGTTAGGGCTCCTTTTATGATCTCCTCGGTCTGTTTTCTTTCTTTTTCTTCCTCTGTTGGCTCCTCACTGTTATACTTTTCATGTGAACTGACTATCCATTGTTTTAGCCACGCAGACATCTAATCTAACTGTTTCAAAGTCGTTTCTGTGTTTTCCTATTAATAGCTTCCTAGTCTAATTCAATTTCCACATACATAGCTGGAGCTGTGTAATAAGATAACGAGGTTAAGTGAGTTTAGTGCCCAGCATATAACTAGGTTGATTGACTCCATACATATACACTCACACACAATTACAGTTAGCTGTTGTTTCCCAGCTATGCTAGTAATTGGAACAGAGTGTAAACCAACAGTTAACCAGCCCCATGCGGTTTTGCTTCTACATTAACCGTGAGATCAGATTAACTTTGTGGCTGAAGACTACAGATGCTTCGTTAGGTAAAAAATGGTGTGTAAATGTGTATGTGTGTGTGTATGTTAACTGTAACGTGCTGTGCTGCTCAGGACAAAGTGCAGTTTAAACTGCAATTAAGCGGCAGCTTGTGAAAGTCGTTGTGTTATCCAGCTCCGATGGTGTCCGCTGTGGCCGTTAAGCCCTGCTGTGCTGAGTTCAATACACACGCACATGAGTGCACAGATAAACACACATGCAGGCTGAGGCTGAACGACCCGGGGCCTCTGATACGACCAATCCCCTGCCACATCAGCGCTGACACACTTCCTCTTTGATCGCTTGTTGCCCACAACTTCTTTCATCTTTACAGGGTCATAATCCTTGCTCCCCTACACACCCCTGTTCTCCCCCTTTCGGCCCCCGTGCAGTTTTACAGTTTCTTAGTTTACTGGGGCCTGCTGTAGCAGTAGGCATCAGGCAGGTAGCCATCGGCTTAAATGAGACCAAGCTGTCCCCTCTGGTGAAGTGCAGCCACCTTACACACCTGGAGCCTAGAGGAACTGAGCGGTGAAGGGGCCCAGCCCCTGCAGGTATGAGGCCTTTACAAGGCCCCTAATGAGGGCCTGCTGGCTAGGGAAGGTGGGGCAGACATGGTGCTCTGGTCTGGTGCCCGTGCTGCTGGAGTTGTGCCTACTGTATAAGTAATACTGTAAGTGCTACTGTAACGGTTATTGCTGCAGCTGTGGGAATGGTAATTGTTGCCAGGTTTCACTGACAGTTTGGAAGCTTTCCGAGTAATGAGGGTGAAAGACCAAGGGAGAGTGGTAAGAATAGATTTCAGGGGAGGAAAATGAGGATGGAAATAGAGAAACAGGAGGAGGAATGAGGACAGAAAGTAAAAGTAAGAGTTGATTGATCGGTGGAGACGATTAGTTTGATTATTTAGGGTAGAGTGCTCTTGTTTGTATTAATAAGATAAAGTCATTAAAATTTCGATTTGCTGCTTAGTCAGCTGATAAAGAACTGAGACCTGCGCTGATCTCTTTGTCACTGAATCCAAAGGTTAATTTTCTGCGAAGACACCCTGCACTGCAGTTGTTGGCTAAAAACAGACCAGAACGTTCTGCTCTGCGGTGCGTCCCGCTGCTGCCTGCGGTGGTGGGTTCACCTCATTGCCTGCCCCCGCCTTACTGGGTCAAAGCCGTCTGTGGGGATTAAGCCCTTTAGGCTCTGGGATGATGCACAGAGTTGCTGGGGTCCAAATGAAGCGTCCCCTCACAGGCACGTGTCCACGACACCCACTGGCATTGGTGCAAGGGCCCACTATGCCTGATACCCTGGATGACTAATGAAGTGCTATTTCAGGGCCCCGGTGTGACCTAACACACATACATAATCACACACACACATGCTCTCCCAGCAGTAGTGCATGTGAGGAGGGTTGGGGGTGTTTCAGTGTACTGTTCCGCATCATTTGGAGGTGCTTCAGTGCAGCCAGAACTGATGAGGTTCTAATGACTTTATATACAAAGGGCATCCACACTGGGCCACCGTCCATCATAACTTATGTAGCGGTACAACATTCCGCTGGAATAGCTTTTTGGACTTTTAGACTCCTCTTTCATTTATCTTTATAGTGTACAGTAGTACATAAAAGCAACTTTGCATTTAGCAGCAGCAACGCTTACTTCACATCAGTTGTACGGTAAAAAAAAAAGGTACTTTAGTCTTGCAAACCTCGCTCTTTAAATCAATGACACTGGGCCCCTAACAGCACTGTCAAACACCCTTTAAAAACTAAATCCTTAGTGGTGCATGGAAGCCCAACCCCAAGAGTTACCTTTTTACCACCTGAACAGTTTACTTAAATCATTATGTCCCTCTGTAAGCAGCAATGTTAAAGACTGGCACTGGTATTTAGTGCATGTGTGTGTACAAGAATCACTCTCCCTCTCTGGGTAACAGTTGTATCTGGTTTGGATCTTTTGCCAGCATAAGCTATCGTTATGGTCATTATCAGGGAATCCTTCATGTCCTCTTAAACGAGGCCAAACTGAGCACCTTTATAGTGTTAAGTATTCCCTACCTGGCGTTTGGGAGGTGTCAGTGCACTAGTATGTTTTACGACACCATTAGCTATGTGAGCTAGGGAGTGTATAAGTAGGGCCAAGGCAATTAGCATGCCAAGTGGCCCTTTATGATCGGTGTAAAGGAGCTGGATCAAACCCCAGTACAAAAATAAGCATGAATTCCAATTTAGCGCCTAATGAGCAGAGGGGAGTTGGGTTAATATTTTTAGACAACATTTATGTTGGGGATGAAACCTCATTGGACATACAGGGGTCAAAGGCAGGAGAGTTAAAGGTTGAAACGTTGCCAGATGCCATCACTTACATCTACCAGAGGTCTCTCTCTCCTTTGCTTTGTCCTCCACTTTTGTGGCAAATTTAAACATTTCACTGCAAGTGGCCAATTAGTCACTATTCAGTATGTGTCGTGCCACAGCAGCTAATAGGCGAAACTTTCCTTACTTTGTAAAAAAAAAAATTTGCTCACTGGTTTATGTCACCTTGACATGCCTTTTCTTTCCCAGCACTAGACGTGAATGCTGAATCCTCCGATCTGCAGATGTGTGAACTATACACAATAGTGTTTCCCTGGAAACATTTAATAACCCTTATGCTCCATTAGGCGTCACATGAGATGAAACCTGCTGAGTTTTGTGCTCTCCAGAAAGGACTGAAAAACAGAATAACATAGTATCATTAAAATGTTGCTCCCTTGCCTTTCTTGACTTCATTCATTTACTCGCCTATTTGCCTTTTCTTCTTTTTTTTTTTGCTCACTGTCACCAACCTTGGTTTCGCCTTGTCTGTCTGCCCACACTGGCATCATCACAACACTGTCAAAGGTTCAATGTGAGAGGGAGAGAGAGAATGAGAGGCAGCGAGAGGAGCAGGTCCCGGGATGCTTTGTGGGTAACACAGTTAAACGAAGCACGATGCATGGTACACGGCGCCCCTTCAGCAGAGCACACTTCAAAGCCTGTTTTGCACTTGTACTGTCAACATTTGGGAGAGGAGAGGAGAGGAGCGAGGGTGGAGCAGCCTTTGAGCAGCGCTGGGTCTTTACCCACTGCCTCTCTTGTCGATGTTCCCTTTAAGCTCCCCACTCGCGCTACCAAATTGCTTATGTGCTCACCGCATTACCACACTTTTTACTTTCACCCAATTCCGGTTTCTTTTATTTTGCTAACGTCCCACTTTCTCCTCGCCTCCTCTGCCTTTTCTTCTGTTTTTGACTTTAACTAGCTGTTTTCTGCATCGGTTTGGCGACTGTGTGTGCTTCTGTCTGTGTGTGTGTGTGTG